CACCAAGTTATGGCAGGAAAACACAAAAACTGCTTGTTACTGAAACTGTGTTGGATTGCTTGGGTAGCTTTACATACAAAAATGCAATTTTGTTTCTGTGAGGCCACGTCCTTTTGTGCTCATAGCTCAGGGTGGGTGTGTTGCTTTTTGGAGACTTGCTTATTGCCAGGTGTGTGTCGGGCAGCTCTATCCCTGGCTGTGCACCCTGTCTCTTCTCCCTGGCTCAGAGGGTCTTGCCAGACTTCTTTTTCATCCCTCTTGAGAGGCTGAGTAACTCTCGACCACAGTTCTCCGCTGAACTTTGTTATTAAGTTATATCAACTTTACAATAGATTATGAACATGATCATGGTAGAGCAGAGTATAGCTACAGGACTTCCTTTTGGGTTGAGTTGAAAGTGGAAGTCATGGAGAGGGCTTGTGCAATTACTGCCCTTAATTCATGTCACAAATATTTTTCCAAAGGTCTTTATCAGTGCCAAGCAGAAATAAATGTGACCATGAGTTGCAGCTTGTAATCAGTGCATAAATTTGAAGTCAGTAATTTTATTTCATGTCAGCATGTTGGACTGTAAACTCTAGCAGGTAGACACTCCACCTGGCAAGCTCTTCTGCAGAGATGGCAATATTTGAAATGGGGTAAAAAGGACAACTGAAGGTCAGCAAAACACACTTTATGTTACGAATCAGAAGCTTTTGTTTTTCAAAAGAAGTGGATGAAAAGGTCTTGATGTGACTTGGGTTTTAAGTTCACATAAAGGGGGTCATATTTTCCAGAGAAGTTGACATTTAACTTTATATAATTTTCCAATGAAGTACTGAAAACTGAGGTCTTTGGCCTAGCAAACTGCCTGTCTGCAGAAGCATCCCATGGGAACCAGTGTTCAAGGAAACAGGGCTTGCAAGATCAGGCAACAGTTGTGAATTTCAGTACTTTTGGTGAGACTGCTTTTTGTCATTTATCAGTAACTCCAGATCTGCGATAAGTTATGCGGCCTCATATCCTTGTATCTGCTGGCGTTGTAGGGCTGCCCTGTACTTGTGATGGGTTACATCCCTAGAGTGCTCAGGACTCTCATCAGGATGGGGCTGCCTCAGGCTACAGACATGAAAGCAGGATCTCTCTGTTACACCCATTTTGTACAATTCATTTGGCTGTAGGAAGGTTACACACTTGCACATGAGACTCTTCCAGGCTCTGTTGGAAAAGTCTTCACGGAATTATTCCACCCAGGTTTTGCTTTGAAAGCTGCCGCTGAGCGCTGGCTTTCACGGTTCTATACTGCTTTGAGTCATTTGCCTGCTTAAATATCACATCCAGTGCAATGCTGTAAACAAGGGAGCAAACAGCCACATAACTATGAGTCCCAGGAGAGAATGATCTGTTAAAAGGGAAAAGTACTTGTTTTGCCACAGCTGAATTACTAATATTCCTATAAATTGCTTCTTTGGGGTTGTGTAACGTGTTTGGCAATGTGGCAGTTAAGAGATGTTGAAATGGGGAACAGACTTAGAGGAGTAGAAATGGAAGGAAGCCAAGCCAAAATACACAGAGAGCCTTTTCCAAAGACAGGTCAGCAATGATCCAAGCGTATTCCCACAAAATGGAAGTTCAGAAGGGAACTGTAAGCAGTGGAAAATATTACATGCTCAACTTATATTACAAACTTTAGTCGCGCTGAGTTCACTGCAGAAAAAATGTTTCTAGAGTTTGAAGTCCTTTCTTTTTCATTTCTTTCCTCCTTTTCTTCCCCTAAACTTAAATATTTTTGTGTTAGGTAGGCTAAAACAGGGAGAAAAAAATAATTGTTTTTCTAACACAGGAAACTTTAACAATAAAAATACTTCAGAAGTTTTCACTCTTGCATTTGTCAGGATAATACATTCCTTTCCCCTTAGGAGGAAGGCAGCTTAAAGGAGAAAAGTTTTATGCAGTATGCTTCCTCTTGGCTCTTATCTTTGTTTCAGGCTTGAAAATTACTTGCTGCCTTGCCGCTTTCTACTGTTTTTGCTGATATAGTCACTGTCGCTTTCTAAAAACAGCTGCCCAGGCAGGGGCAGAGGCAGCACCTCTGCTAGTGGCAGTGGAGGAATGTCCTGGCCTGAATTCACTATTTGTATAGTTGTTACACACTCACAACTCAGACTGGCTGTTCTGTGTACATCTGGCCTGGTAGTTGCCGTTTCGATTTCAGACCTAGAGAAAGGGGCATGCACCCAAAAAAGCTCAAGCACTGCATCAGATGTCCACACTGATCTAATAAAAAAACTATTACAGCCTTGCCTTTTCTTATTATAACTTGCTTGTTTAAGATGAAGTACCTCTTATCATCTAGCCAACCACCTGGTGATAAACCTTCAGCAGAAGGTGGGTTGTTTCTCTTTGCTTTATGTGTGTGTATATGTACATATAACCTGTCATCCTTATTTTGAGTTCTTCAGTGTACTAGTGGCTACATGTTATCCCAGCTAGGGGATAGTGTCAGTGACCACTTACAGTGATGCCCTGTGCTTGCACACTCCTGTATTTTCTGCCAGTAGGCCCCCATGAAGAAGATTTTGTCATGCTTATTAATATTTAGCTTGTCTTTTATTGTAAAACTACTGTTTGCTGTGTCCATATCTGGTACCAGAGTGTTGGTATCTAATCACAAACTAGATGCAACGTATGCTTTTCTTTTGTTTGGAAGCAGACAGAAACTATTAGGAAAGATCAGAGAACAGCCTGCTCTACAGCTGTGACACTACAAAGGGAAAAGACAACCAGATAGTACTAACAGCATCAAACTTCTGGCACTGATTACTCTCCTAAGTCAGGAAATACACTCCTTAATGTTACTAATGGAGAGAGAGATGTTTCCTATATTGAGAAGGGGATTTATAGCAGGAATGTAATTTAGGTAAACTGCCTGACCCCAGGGTGGTGAATCTATCTCATTGTTATCTACAGAGAACCTGAAAGATTTATCATAGGTATCAGCAGTTAGGTCATACGAATATCCACCTCTGCCTCGATTTCTCAGTTAATGAGGAACTGCTGTATCACATTTGTTTGTGGGGTTTTATTGCTGCTCATCAGAAAGCAGACTAGACATCTTTATGAGTTGTCCCTGCTCATATTCTCTCAGGATATCTTCTCTCCTTTCTGACTTCTGTGGCTGGTCAGGTTGCCCATCTCTGTTTTCTTATCTCTGTGTTTGATTATTCTGTTGTCCCAGACAGACTGCTGCGTGTTATACACCTAAAGTGTCTCCAGGCTGGAAGGTTCTGCACTTCCTTTATATTGAAATTGAAGTAAAGGAGAGGAAGAAGCATCTTCACGATCTGAACAATCCTGGATGTTCGGCTGATTTAAAACTTGAGGCAGGGAAATTCCCTTTGCAGGCCAATAGTATCAAAATGGTCAGCCCTGTTAGTGCTCTGCTACCGTGGGAGATCTGAGATCAAACTCAGTCTCCTGGTTCATAAAGGCCTAAGTAACTGGGGATGTAACAACTGCCAAAATCCTGCTGCCTGAGCGTTAACAGGGCTCTTTCCCAACCTGCCCTTTAGTGGTGGTTGTACAACTCCACTCTGTGGGCTTTTTCCTTGTTCAATTAGGTCTCTGATGCCATGTTGCTTGAGTGGCTGCTCAGCCATGCTGAGGACATAGGAACCATGATCCCTTGCAGTGTCATCTTTTTCCCAGCTGCTGTCATGAGGAACTTGTTTTTAGCCTTGGTAGAAAGCTCCCCTTCTCCCAGCCATGGGAATGCAACTTTTTACTGATGCAGCTGATTTACAGCTACTGGTTTCTGTACCTCTTGGCTATGCTTTTTTTTTTTCTCACCGTTCCTTAAAATATGCTTTTAAATGACACGTTGCTAGTGTTCACTGTATGATATGACCATGGGGAATAGAGGCATGCTTTTCTGAAAGACATATATGAAGAAAGGCTTGTTATTTGCCTATTCAAATTGCATGCACTGGGATCTCCAACTGCTCTGAAGCGCAGCTTCCCAGCTGCAACACTGAGTCCATCATCCTACCACCTCTGCCAAGGAAAGTGAGACAAGCTGACCTTCTTAGAGCTCATGGAGAAGTGAACTAGCTGTCTGTTGGAAAACCGAGATTATTTCAAAAGCAAAATGTCCAGGTGTGGTGAAAAGCCCAAAATTATAGTTCACAGAATGGCAGGTGAAGAAAAGCATTAATTCAGATTTGTTTTTATGGTGCTGATCAAAATATTTTTGAATAGTATGTTATATAGAGTAGGAGTATTCCTTTCTAGCTCAGGGCAAAATGAGCCTTTGGCCCCTCTCCTGTTGCAGTGCCTCATGATATTTACAGTTTGACAGTCTCATGCTTCAATTCTGTATAGCATTGCTCCCCAGCTGACCTGCATTTCTTGTGCTAACCTATGATCAAAATTCCCATGAGAGGCAGCATTGATTTGACAACAGTTTCTGGTAAAATCCATTGGAATAAAATGGGAGCTAATGCTTCAAACTGCACCTCTCAAAGACTCAAACATAAAAGCAGAAAGAGCAAACACTTTAATTAAAAAACTCAGAGATATATGATTTAAGTCATCTTACCTGTTATATTTTTTTTTCCTTTTCTCAAAGATAAAAGAAAAAAAAAAAGAGGAAGCTGACTCTGTTTTTGTTTTTGTGATCTGAGCAAGAACTTCAAAAAGAAGCAGCTTCCTGAAATTTTTCTCATAGACCTTAAAACAAAAATAACAAAACACACTTCAGAGTTTAAAAAAACGACAAACCAACAAAAACCAAACAACAAAAAACCCCTACCCACAAGTGTGCGTGAGTATGTATAATATGGAAAAAGAAATAAATATGCTCTCCAAGGGCATGTTAAAAGCAGAAGTGTATAAAAACTAATTAAATATGTGTTCACTTTTGCGCCTTTTTTTTTTTTTTTTTTTTTTGATCTGTAGATCCCACCTCTGTTAACACATAAAACTCCTGGAGTACAAATTATATGTAGTGGGTGTTCATGTGGAAAATCTGTATGGCCAAAGCATCCTAACAACCCACAGTTCCTGCTGGGTGAGCTAAGAGTATGTCTTGAGGGAATGAGGGATTCAAAACTCCCCATGAAGGTGAGTGTAAATCTCTTCCTCCTGTCATGGTTTTAGCTTTGCTAGTGGTTTTAATTCCCAATTAAAACCATTCATTGGAATGAAATTAAAGTCTCAAGGTGCTGCTGCATGGTTCATTAACCCCAGGGTTTTTGATGGACTCTCTTCTTGCTATGGTTTCTATGGTTAGCTCTGTTCACTGGAGCGATCCTCAACCTGCTGCCAGTCTTGCCTGCATCCACAGCATAAAGGGAAGGTGCAGCCTGTGTCAGTTTGCAGAGGGAGCAATATCTCATGGCTTCTGAGTCATGCTCTTAAGTCCCAAGGGGTTTTTCTTGCATCACTTTCTCCTGGACCAAGCAATTTTTCAAAGCAACATTAAACTGGGAACATTAAACTTTGGATTTTTATTTGCTTTTTCAGTGTAGTAATGCATTGAAAGTGTTTCTGCATTATGTAATTACATATGTTGGTTGTTTTTTTTTAAAAAAAAAAAAAAGCTAGAAAATAGAACCCTGAGTGTTGTGGCGAATTTATCCCTTAAAAAATAGTACAGCCCATAAAAAGGAGATGGGATGGTGATTTGTTAAAATTAGTCTCCCCCTGAGCTTCTGGCAAAGGATTGCAAAGTGTAATTTATGCAGCCGACTTTCTAATCCATCAGGCTTCAATAATGTAGTAAAAATATATTCGTTATGTAGATACAGATGGCTGAGGTTTAGTACCTCTGTTGAATTTTCCAAAGGAAAAAAAAAATCCTTTTTGCTTCAGCAAGCTATGAAGGTCATCTTAAGGATGAAGTACAAAACAGGTATTGCAGTTTGATCAACTGATCCTTCGGGAGAAAGCTTTTGTCTTCAGGACCCAACAGAAAATGGCCACAAGCACCTTGAATGTCTACTGAAGACAATCCCCCCAGTCTGGCCTGGGATGCTGGAGTGTTGTTGCCTGCAGTCAGCTGGCCTCATGTCTTTGCTGTTGTAGGCTGTAAAACATAAACATCTGGCCTGCATAGGTGGACGTGGAGCAGAGCTGCTGCCAGGACTGCTCTACGGTTTGTGGGATTGTGCCTGACCTAATGAGGAGATGTATTACCTCACTGTGCTGGGCAGCCAGGTACCATCAGAAATTACAAACTCCAACCCATATAAGGCTTTTAACAATTCACAACAATGGCTTTGTGTCCTGCCCAGCATGGCTGAAATCGCTTTGGTGCACTCTAACTCTTCCAGGGCATAAAATCCCTGATAGCTGGTGCCAGGTTGCACTGCCAGATCCCACGGCTAATGGAGGGAAGGATCCCTTCAGCACCTCTCTGTGCTCTCCTTAGTGCAGTCTCAGAGGCTGAGCTGCTTCTTGGTTTGCTCACCTGCAGTGAGTCCACATGGCTGCCCAGAGCCCATCTGCCTGATAATGTGACAGCCACTGCCAGGGCAGTTTGCCCACATTATTGCAGGCTTGGGGCCATCTGGGGATGGACAGCATAACTCTGCAGAAAGCCCTTCCTATGGGGTAGGGGTGCCTTATGTCGTTGCTAGCAGCCGCTACACATGCCAAATAAAATTCCTCAGCAGAAGAAAACAGAAATTTATCACAGCAGACCAGATATTTATCTAGATATACAGTACTCTATCAGCCTCATGGAGGGCTTGTGGTGTGAAGTTTGTGAGGGGTTTCTGTTAGCTGAAAAAAGAGGCAAACTTGCACTCTGTGCAAGACGCCTGTTTTTGGAGCATTATCATTCGTTTAATTTAAAAATATTTAGCTTAGCCTCATGTTTTGCTTTCTGGAAATGGCTCAGCAATCTGACCATTACCCATGCAAACCTCCACAGAAGTAAAACTTGTGAACTACGAAGGCTCAAGGCTTTGCTCTGCACAGAGTAATTTGTGTTTGTGCTACCGAAGTCAGTAACACTGTCCATTTTCACATCTGCTGAGCATCCTGTCCACAAGTATTTGCAATAATCTGGCAGATATTTATTTATTAGAACAAGGTTATTTTTACTCCTCTTCATATCATCCAAGATACAGACTTCAAGAAGTGTTTCTCATTCTCTGTGTCTTAGTCCATGCTCACATGAGAGCTGTCTGTGAATGTGACCAGAGAATTGGGCTTCTGGCCAGTAAGGCTAATATTTTATAAAAGGACATATCAGGCAATGTAAACTGCCCTCACAAGGAAAGTTTACATGTCTGAAATGTCTAATGCTTTTTTAAACTTCTCCCTCCCCATGTACTGCCAACTTTCTCCAAGAGAATCAAACTTCCTAAGACATCCTTTCCGACTGTTACATATCTAGCCAGCAGACAGACAGTGTAGTTGCTGGCCTGTCTCAAATGGATATATCAGGTAATTATTAGTCTCTGTAAATAACTCACAATCAGCTAAAAAAATTTTGGTATAATTGTATGCTTGACAAATGAATACATTAAACTTTAATCTGCACTTTCATTAAACAAATGAATACATTAAACTCTCCTCTGCAGTTTAATAAGCAGCAGAGGAGCTAACACTCAATACATTATGAATTATTCTAAATCCTCTAATCCTGGAGTTAGTGAAGAATTCAATTTTCCTTTACTTCCCATATCCCACTCATTCTAAACCTGAACAAAACATCACACCCCAAGGTGATCATGACTGTGCTCCACTGGGAAACTGTGCTAAACGTGTATGCTGGATTTGCTTAATTCCACCTACATTTGTTGCCATTCTCAGATATAATTTTACTCCTCCTTTGGCTTGCACTACCTCTCCACTGGGGACTGGGGAGTTCCTTTAGAAATTAGCCCATGTTGCAGTTGGCAGATAAATGCTTTCTCTCTAGATTCATGGTTTGCTGTTTTTTTTACCATGTAGTAATATGTGCATGCCTGGGGACTCACAAAAGCTTGAGGCTTCTCTAAGTTTCTCTGCTCCTGTCACAAATGCACAGAATTTGAATGCTGGCTATATGTCTTTTAGTCTCATGCAACCTTCAGTGCCATACTGACTTTCACCTCAGTCTCATCTGGTTTAGGTGAGGGTTTTTTTGCTGCAACATCTCTGTGGTTCAAGTCACTGTTTAGTTTGCTCTGAAAAGCTGCACCGATTCCCACAATACTTTTGAAAGTTAAAACCCAGTGCCATGAAGGAGCTAAAATACAGAGGCTTGTGTTATAGCCAGGAAAAGAGCAGTCAACTCACAGAAGCAACTTCACAAGAGACAGATGCCTCTGGGAAGAGGACTAGGTGCTTGTTACTATATATGTGCATAGGCCTATGCCTGTGACTCTTTTCTTTGTCTCACTTTTTCTCATTGTATTTTCAAGAACTTACAGTACTCTTATTTTCAGTATTAGTGGCATATTTCTAAAACTTTATTACACAATATTTCATCAGGTGATAATCCCAGATGTGTTGTCCTGCAGGTTAATACTCCTTGCCTATGCAAACTTATCATTTTTTAAAAATATTATTTAAATAATACTGACACTGTTTTCCATAAAACAGTTTAATTGGAATTCCCTGGTTATGAAGTAATGTCATTCAAATCACAGTTGTCACAAACTTAACAATCAAATTTTGATCCAGTGTGTGACATTATGCTCTGCTAGTTTGTCGTAGGTATTAAATACAGAGTTTACGCATGAGATCATTCTTAAAAGAGGTCTGGATAGTGACAAGAGTAGTGCAGAAACACTACCCATAGTGAACATCAACAAATACTCCCAAGCCAAACTTGTACCATGGATTTAACAGTTGTTTGCACATAACGGTGTGTGTAATTTCAGACTGTTTTTGCTATGCCTTTTCTGTTTTAAACAATGGGTTTTTTAAAAGAAGTTCTCTACTATTAAAAGCAGACAGTAATGGATTGTCTATGGTATTTCTTTACTTGTTGACAATTCAGTGTCTTCTTGCTCACATATGAGTTTTGCGTCACGCAGAACTTGGTCTAAGAGCAGGCTGCCACCAGAAGCAGTCCTGCTCCCCCTCCAGTTCCTGTTGTGCCCAGCCTGGTTACGGTAAACAGCTGCTAAATGTCTGGTCAAGGCAGGAATTGGGTCAGTGCACAGATCCAACACCAGACTAAGCCCCCACAGCAGCAACTATCTGTGTGGGAACTGAGCAAGTTGGATTGATGGAGCTGTACTGATGCATAGGAGGACATCAGACGCTGCAGCCCCAAAGGAGGATGGGGAGGGAGCTGGCCTTCTCCCCTTGTGGCTGCCCACCATTACAGCACATCAACTTTCATGCACAGCTGTGCTCTATTTTCTTCCTCCTATGGAAATGATTCCCGTTTTCAAGGTTTTCTCATCCTCTGCACTATAAAGTCTTTAAATGAAATATATGCTCCAGTACGTTTTCAACCCAAGAACAGATATTCCATTTCTATAGGCAATTGCAAACTTTTTTATTTCTCAAGACTTCATTTCCCCTAAAAGCAGTACGCCTGAAGTTTTACCCATCTGTATTCCACATGAGTCAACTTTCTCTGCAAAATCTTTATTTTAGATTCAGATGTCACATTAATCAATGTAGTCATGTCCTGTTTGTAATAATAATCTCATCTAAATCCAACATAATATTCCAATCAGTGGAACTATCTAAGCTCTTGAGTTCTGATATTTTTTCCTTTCCTTAGCTGAAATTTCCTTTATATGGAATATATGCACTTTGGATTGGTTTTGGGTATAGTCTTTTCCTTTTCACAGACTGCTGTAAAAATTTCTGCTTTCCTTGCAGACAGATAAGTTTTTCCCAACAGCTGGACACTCTGCATTTCTCCCATGTGTGCTCCTTATCTCCTGCAAGGCTGGGCTGTTCACAGACTTTGTAGAATAAGCACACTCAATTGCCTGTGCTACTTGCTGTCTGAGGGTCTTCCCACCAAGATCTGATGGGATCTGATAGGTACAATGTGTACATCTAATTAATCTTTATGTTTCTTATAAGTTTAAATCCAGCAAGTTTTTAAAAAGTTTGGGATTTCTGACCCCCATTTAAAACAGTGATGTGACTAAAAGACTTTGTAAGCAATCCAGAGGAAAGTGTTTGACTGCACAACTGACATCCTTTGATTCTCTGTAAAGTTATAGCTACTAAATGTCTCTCTAATGTCTAAGAGATAGAAAAAAAAAACAAAACTATGCTACTTCATGCTTTTTTGTTTGTGTGTGGTTGTGGGGTGTTTTGTTTTAGGGTGGATTTTTTTTTAACTCATTGTCATGAAAATTGTCATGAAAAGACTGTCTCACTACACCAAAGACATTGAGGTGCTGGAGTGCGTTCAGGGAAGGGCAACAGAGCTGGTGAAGTCATATGAATAAAAGGAGGCTCAGGAGGGTTCTTAGCACTCCCTACAACTACATGAAAGGAGGCTGTAGTGAGGTAGGGTTTGATCTCTTTTCTCAGAGATAAAGGGTAAGACAAGAGGAAATGACCTCATGTTGTGCCATGGGATGTTTAGATTGGATATTGGGAAAACCTTCTTCACTGAAAATGTTGTTAAATGTTGGAATGGACTGCCCAGGGAAATGAGTGAAGTCACCATCCCTGGAGGTATTTATAGATGCGGCACGTGGGGACGTGGGTTAGTGGTGGAGATGACAGTGTTAGCTTTATGGTTGAACTCAGTGATCACAGAATCTCTGAATGGGTTAGGTTGGAAAGGGCCACAGTGGTCATCTGGTCCAACCTCCCTGGTCAAACAGGGTCATCCTAGAGCAAATGGCACAAGATTGCATCCAGACAGTTCTTGAATATCTCCATATTTGTTGAGGGAGACTCCACAAACTCTGAGCAAGTTATTCCAGTGCTTGGTCACACACAGTAAAGAAGTTCTTCCTGATATTCAGGTGGTACTTCCTGTGCATCAGTTTCTGCTCATTGCCTCATGTCCTATTGCTTGGTCTTTCCCAACCTAAACGATTCTAGAATTTCACTTGTTACATTTCTGAAAAGTTCAGGACACAGAGGAGTCCATGTTCCCAAGGTTAGGTACCAGCTAACGAGAAGTGAGCACCAGAACTTACAACTTAGAGGGGTTGTTGGTGAAACTAAGAAGCATTAGAAGAAAGTGCTTGAAATGGAAAGAAAGCAGAGCATGTCCGCCTTTGAAGGCCCCAAGTCAAAGCCCTGTATGACTAAACTCGTTCTTCTACACTGCTGCATTTCAGCCCAAGCTTTAAAGGTTGGATAGCCTTACAACTTCTAAAATAACCTGGTAGCTCTGCTATTGATTTGTGCAGGCAAAAAGCCAAAATTTGGCTTATGTTTGTCTCTAAACTTGCAGCCATGTGATTATCTTTCTAGGAATGGCTGTCACAGCTTTTCTTAAGAACCAAATAAAAGTGAAGCAAACATTTCATTGTTCAGCTCTCTGTACCAGCCCTCACATGGCTGATGCCCATGTCTATTAAAATACGTTATGACTTTAAAAAGTGATTTGAAACTAATAAAAATAGGGATAGTTTCCATAAAATGGTGCTCTCTTGCTTTTCCACTGAACAAACCCAAAAATACTTTGGCTCATGTTAGATAACACAGTGGAAGAGAAAATGCTTTTTCTTTGATCCATAGAGTTTGGACTGCGATGTAAACCAGATGGGAAAATCCCAGCAGAGATTTTTCCCTTCTTTTGACCATTGAGAGCCATCAGTCCAATCACGTGAGCTCAGAGAGCCCTTGAACAGCTCTAGCATATTTACAAAATGAGCTGGACCGAGAATTTTATTGTTTGAACACAGTGGCTGTATGGAAACAATTTAACGATATACCTATCATATTGTCTAAGGAAAGACTGAATCGTATAAGAGACCTTTCAGTCTAACATGAATCTGAGACAGAGTGACTGGGGCCAGGAAATCAGGAAATTTGTGGAATTCATAGTTGGACATTCCTAATTTTTAGTTGTCTTAAACACTGTAGGCAGCTCAGGGCCTCAGTGTCTGCTGTACTTTGTAATTTTTTTCTTAGCCTACTGCAAGCAATTTAATTAAATGTGTATTAAATTGATCTCAGTTTTACCGAGTCAGTTTCAAAAGAACATTAAACAAATTGTAAACTGAAGTGGAACAATCCTGAAATACAATAAGCTTGTAACAGGCTATTCATCAGATACAACTGTTCCACCTTTAGGTTTTATGTGCTGAATATATTTAATACAGATACATATTTGCTGCAGGAAAAAAATACTGTTAGGGAAGCAAAAACATACTGATATGTAAACAGGCTATGTAAATACTTTAATCACTTAATGAGCATTCTTTGAAATGTCTCTCTTTAAGGCTGATGTACACTGGCATTTACTTTACACTTTGGTTATTTAGCTACACTGTTACTACACTGATGCTAAAATCTGTAGTAGTGTTCTAATGGTAATTTTCCAATCAACAATGAAAGGCAAAGTCTCACATTGCTTTGGTTGTGTCCAGGGTCTCCCTCTTCTACCACACTCCTTCCCCCCATCAAACACCGACATTCTACAGAATGGCCCATCACAAGACCCACAAGGAAAGTTTAAGAAAGATAATTTTATTTAAAACTTTTATATAAAACGGTACTTGCTCCAAAGCTGTTGATGCCTGGTCTGTCTCTGCTGTAGCTGTCTTAGCCACATTCATAATTTTCTGTCTGAAGATTAAGCAGTAATGATATTGGCTCCGTTTCAGTGGCAGGTACAGATTTCTCTTGGCCTCCATAGAGATCAGCAAAGACACCAAAGCCACCAAAGGCAGAGAGACTATAGGTTTATGTTGCTGCAACTCCACTGTTTTTAATGGTTTCATTGCCATACTGGCATGAGCCAGTGTTGGAAAAGATTCAAGGCCAGACACAATTCTGAGTAGCGAAAATACTTCAATCAAACAAATTCTGTGGTAGGGCTGTTTGTTGGCAGCACACAGACTTCAGATCTCGGAGTGGTGATCACAGGCAGGCAGATGTATTGCATTATAGAAACTGCTGTGCTTGGCACTTCAGGGTGGCGTCTTTTGTCTTTGCAGGAAGAAAGAAATCTTGACTTTGATAAAGCTTTCTGATTCGCATTCTGTAGAAAGCTTGTTCACCTGGATTGACTGCTGCATGCTTGGGTGTTAAACCTGTCAGTGCAGGGAGAGCTGCATTCCCTCGTACAAGCACACTAGAGAACTCATCTGCCTTTAAAGTGATCTTGCAATTTATTTTGGAGACTCATTTGATTACAAGAACACAAGTGTTCTTAATGCTGCCATTCTTAGCTCTTCAAAGTTCTTGTTAGGGTGTGGATTACAGAATTTGACCTTTTTCATTAAGAAATGAAAATTGCCCTGCCTAGATCCTAATAGATATTTAAGTTATCAGTCTGTGTCTCAGTAGACCCTGTTCTGCTTAAGTAGATGCAAATGACCCTCTAGCAGGTGCCTTAGTGATCCAGTACAACCAACATTTGCATACCTATTTTGGGCTGAGTTACTGCGTCGTGACTGCTCTTGTCCTTGCAAGCAAGTTACTGTTTTAAAGATGCTGCATAGGAATGCAGGACTTGGTTCTTAAATTGTGCCAGCCAACTGGTTTATTAGCTTGAGCAAGCACTTTAGCAACTTGTTCAGTTACTTGGAACCCAAAAGCTGGAGACTGGAATAGAGAAGCTTTCCAGAGGAAACCATGGATAAAGCTTCAAGCTTCAGAGAGAATTTTAGGTTCATATTTGTTATAGAACTTATGAGTGATACCCCAACCCACTGAATGAGAAGGCAACTACATTGTGTCTAGTTTTAAAAAAGATATATGTTCATGTGTATTCTTGGTAAGACAAAGTTAGTTTTGAACAATAAGAAAGGATTCAGAATAAGGATAATTTCAATTTTGTTACCACGAGGCCAAATTAAAAATTGAGAAGTGCTTTGCCCAGCTGTTTAAATGAAAAAAATGTTAGGATTGTCAGTAGTTTTTCCATGCCAGGATTATACAGAATCTCAGTTTGTTGGTTTATTTTTTTCTCTTGCAAAATCCAGGTATTCCCAGGTTTGCTATGAAGAAAACCAGGTAGCAGTTCAACTGCACCAAAAGAACAACTTTAAGCAGTGCAACTGGACTGCCAAAGAGGACAAAGAGAGGGGACAAATGTGCAGCATGGCCAAAACATGTAAGGTTTCTCATGCTCTCTCATATTTTCTTTTTTTTTTTTTTTCCTGAAAATGTTTCATTCTGTTGTTCCCCCACTCTTCCTGTTCAGACCTGTGTAATTTAAACCCTGCTGCAGACCAGGTTTGGTACTTAGCATAGTTATGAACATCATGATTAGACAGTGTTTTTAAGGTCTGTCTAAAAGCCTTTTGTGGCTTTTCTCCTCAGTGTTACAAAGTTGTAGTCCATGACAGTCCATTGGAGACTGAGGTTTTTGCCCAAGTCCCAGACTATATTGCAGTGCCACCCAGGGAGTCTTTGAGATTAGTCACCACATCTTTTCTACTTTCTTTCTTTTAACACCAAGTCCCTTAAGCTGTAGTTTATTTCTTACGCTTCCCACTGCTGCAGTTTCTGGGCACCAAATTCAGTGCCCAGATGATTATGAGAGAACAGCATAATGAGGAGTGGTGGTCACTGCAAGCTCCTCTCCATTGCGTTTTGGTTTGCCCACTTGTTCAGGTGAGGATAAAGGCAATAGAGTATGGAAAAGAGACATGGATTCTGCTTCCATCTGTCACCAAAACATCACATGGTTTTGGGGAAGTCACCCCACTCTCTGCCCTGCCCTCTTATTGCTTACAAAATGGGAGTGCTGGGCTCCATTTTCCTTTGGGGGTGTATTAAAACCAAAGACACTGGTTTCTCTATGAGGGCCCTGGATGAACAGATTTTCTGCTTTGCACTGTGGAATATGATGGTCTTAAACAGTTCTGCTTATTAAGAAAAAATGAAAACAGGAAAGAAAGGTAAGAGGAGGTCACACTTCACAGCAGCCTTCTCCACTGAATTGTCTGCTCTCCAAGGTTTACCTCCAGCACACTGCAGCTACTTATAGAAAAGATCCTGCTGATGTAATTTGAAAATCTTCTTTTGAAACAACTGTAATGTATGATGTTAATATGTGGGTAGCTCTAACCAGTCTCAGAGTATTTATATACTCCCAAGGTGGGTGTGCTTTTGACTAATTTATAATGTGCTTATGGAATGGATTTGTCACCCGGGAAGATACATTTGTGAGAGTGGTACTTGAAATGACTGTTTTCCAAGTCATGATTCAAATTACGGTCCTTTGCCACAAAGAATTTCTGTTGTGCCTTTCCTCCCTGACCCATCTCCTCCTGAAACATTTGTTGTTTTGCTGCAGCTTAAACCCCAAGAAAATACTTATGCCACCAATACTTTAAATGCATTGTTCACAGTGACAAACAGTAATGTATTTTTCATATTTCATCAGATCTCTTTTGTTGAGTACATGACCTTTTTTATTTTTTAAGCAACCACAATAGACAGCTTTTATGTTTCCCTATATTCTTTGGTCCCCAGATCACCACATCGGTTTGCCAAGCATTCAGAAAAAGAATCCATTGCTTAGGCATTCAGTGTATTTTATGCCTGCTTCAGTTTCTCTTGGTCTTATTTTCTCCTTTTTCAGTTTTGAAGTCAACTCTTTTTTTTCTTCTTTTTTTTTTCCTTTTTTTTCCCCCTTTTTTTCTTTTCCTTTCTTTTTTCATCCCTAATGTGCATTTTATGACTTTGTCCTTTCTTTTGGCAAGTTAGCAGAAGCTAGATTTTTAAAACACTTTTGCTTGAGTGTTAATTGTCCTTCACAAATCAACCAAGGTCTGAATCAATGCAATCTGCAGAAACAAGCACAGGGCTGGGAGTAAAAATCAAAGCAAAATTCCCTTGTCTAATACACAAGCAGTTGTGATATTTTGAGTATAAGTCAGTAGTGTGGCCTATTAGATACTGATACAAGTGGAGGTTTAAAATGTGTAAAGATTCAAATCTTACTTGAAAAAAATCACATTTTTAGTTGTTGTTCTAATACCTGCATCTCAAGCGTATCTTGGTTTATGCTCTTGCTTATTTGTAGCATAACTGCAACATAAAGGCCAAGTCTTTGAGCTGGATTATAGTGCTCTTGGTGCTGGTCAAATACAGACCAAGAAGTCTTCTTGCTTCAAAAACTTTAAAATCTAGTCTCTTCAAAAGTAGTATAATGAATTACTGGGGGGAGGGTGTCCAATAAAGTAGAGTGCAAGTGGTGAATAAACAACAGAAATGCACCTGTGAGTGCTGAGAGGCAAGAAAATCACATATGACAGGATATCCCAGCCCTTGTGTATAAGCCTACCACTCCAAGCAGTTCCTTTGAAGTCAGTGCGATTCATAAGTAAAGGTCTGCATATCTGGGTGTTAAGCAGCACAGTTTTCTCAGCAGATCTCTTCCTGATAAAAAATATCCCAGTTTTGAAAACAAATCTTTTGGAATAGCATTGTATCAGAGTATATTTTAGAAGTGTTTGGATAACGTTAGAAAATAGCTGACACTGCATAGTTTTTTCTATCTATATTAAGTGTTATTATAATTTTGAGGTGTGAGCAAACAGGAGAATTTATCCTAAGAAGAAAGTTACAAGAAGCTGAAGACAAGGAAATCCCTAATCATTGTTTTAGCTCAATCCTAGCCACAAATAAAGGAAGCAGACAGTATGCAAAAGCCACCATAAAATTCAATGAAATTAAATGCATGTGAACATGTGTGTTCATTAAGTAGATATTTATACACATTTATAATGTTATTTTTGTACCTGCTTTAACAATTCAAGTATGTAACTGAAAGCTGCACATAAGACTTTCTAAGTGACTTAGATCCTGATTTCAACAATAATATTGGCACTCATGAGCCTTTATTTCCTTGAAAGTTAATGGAGGACATAGTCCTAGATCTTTGAAGCATTCACATTTGCAAAGGGGATTTTTGTTTGTGCTTGTTTAAATGCTATTTAAAAATGAACTATGTATAAAAACAAATACACATGAAGAAGCAATATTAAGAGCGCCTTTCATCTGAGCATTTTTCCTGCCTTGCTGCCTCCTCTGTGTATCAGTGGCACAAACTGACCTGAACACAGCAGAGATCTTGGGTCCATGCCTTAGGCTCGAGGCAGGTTAGATGTCGCGAGTCACAGATCTCCTGGAATGTGGTGGAAATGCTGCAGCTGTGTGATGGTGATGCCTTTGCTGGCATACTTTGCCCTTTGTCAGGTCAAAGCGACTAAGGAAGGGACTGAGGGGCAGACATTTTTTCTGCTCTGATGGCTTTGCTGAGACCTCCTCAAAGAACAAGTCTGTGCAGGAGGCATGCCTGGCACTTTCTGTTTCTTTTCCAGACTCTACTATGGCCTGCTTATGGTTTCCATTTACTGAATAAGTATGAAGGGCATATCCCATCCTTGACTTCTATGAGAATTGTTAGCCATAAGATTTAGACAATATGGGTGCCGAGTCCCTTAATAGATCACCTGCTAATAACCAAGTTCATCTGGGAAAAGAGAGCATGAAAACCCTTCTCAGGAATGCCTATTGCTGCATGACTTGCTCTGCAAAGTGCACCTGGTGAGTGGCAACAGGCTCTCTGTGGAGGGGAGCCAGCCCTGGAGAGTCATGCTAAAGGCGCGAAGGAGATAGTCACAAATATTCTCAGTGTGTGAAAGGCCTGTTTTCCCACAGTGCAGTAGAGAAGACCAGGGCTAAGTTGGTATAAATGCAGTTTAAAATACCAGCATGTTGTGGCCATAGCAACTGTTGATAAGATTATTGTGGTGTGCTTCCTCCCTAGTTTTGTGGACAGGGTTGTGGTAATGCCACAGGTAAGATGGTTCAGGCATGTGCCTACCTGGAGACTCGGGAATACAAAGCTGCTCTGCTGCTGCAGCACTGATCATGATATCAGTCTAAAAGAGATTTTGGCACAGTGTGTGCCATGTTCTCCCTCTCCCATATGGCATAAGAAGCCCACGCAGTCCCTCCTGAACAGGCTTGCCAGTGTCTGGGATGTGTTTAGCAGGAGCTGCATCTCCAACCAGCTGCACTCTGCTTTAGCCACAGCGTAACTGAGAACAGGGAGCCCCCAGTGGTCTAGGGGAAATGACACTGCACTGTCACTGCAGAGACCCGGGTTCGATTCCTGATCGGGGCCCCTCCCCAGGCAGATGGAGCTCGTTAGCCCATAAGGCAATCCATCTACATCCTGAGGACCTCACTGCCACTGTCCAAGCGTGCTTGGCCCCGGCAGATGAACCTCAGGATTAAAGGGTGGGCTCAGTTCCACGCACACTGTGTCTCACCTAAAAAAAAAAAAATCCAATGCACAGGCTGGAAGGTGGAAAGACCTTCCCCTGTTCTTCGTTCGCGAAGACTGGCCATTACATTACATTTACATTACAACTGAGAACAGATCAAACTCAACCATACACGAAGGAGGGGCCAGCGCTGGCACTTTGCTCATCGAGTTCACATCAATTAAATCAGAAAGAACCATCAGCAAGGTGGTGTCACACAGCTTTCTAGCTTCACTGTTGTCTTTCTACTAAACCTTCACAGTGATTTTCAAGAGTTGATGGGGAAACCTGCCCTTGTCGCTAGTTTTTCTTATGGAAAGTGTCTGAACTTGGATATTTCCTAACTGACTTCAGTCAGAGAAAGAGCATGGAAGATTTTAGACCTTGAAAGTTAAAGGTCTGACAAAGTTACATGAAACTGGAAACAGCGGATATGATGGAAAATATTAGCCTGGGGTAACAATGGATGGAGCATTAGCAACACCTATAATTATGATCTAAGTGACAAAACAGAAAGGAAAACTACAGTCCAAGGGATTTAAAAGGATTTTTTTTAAACCTAGGCTAGATTGTCCCCTCCCACAGGAGGGGGTTTCTGCTTGAAAACTGCTACATGGTGATCTGCAGACCTCTCCCAGACCAACTCATCCCTGAAGCAGAATCTCCTTTTCTGCTCTCCAAAGGGCACAGATTTTGCCTTACAACTGGGCATACAGATGCCTTAGCTATCTTGTTTTAGGTCCTGCCCTAAGGATCTTTTTTAACATTTACCTCGCCCCTACTCCCATTTAGCCTGTTTTCTTTGGAGGCACCCTTCTATCTGTCATGGTTTGTTGGGAACAGTCTCTGGAA